CGGTACGGTACGGTACGGTACAGGCCCGGGCACGGCTTTGCTACGACGGGACGATCAGCTCCGGGCGCAGTGAATGGGGCAATGTATGAAGCAGCGGAGCTTATATAGCCGGCAGGGGCGGAGAAAGAAGAGGAGGAGGAGGGGGAGGAGCAGAAGGAGGAGGAAGGCGACTACGACGACGGCGACGACGACGACGATGACGACAGGGAGGGCTGGCCCGGCGCAGGCTTCTCTGCCAAACCTCCTCTCGCTCCTGCCACCACCGAGGAACCGCACCATGGTTTCAGCGTGGGGTTTGGTAACAGCCTGGTTTGCCGGGGCGGCTGAACTCGCCTTTCACAGCTCTTTCATTTTTTAGCGCATCTTCTCCCCCCGCTTTTTTTTTTTTTTTGGTGCCAAAATTGATTTCGAAGCTCCCAAATCAGATAGGGGCCGTCAGGAATGCTTCTCCCAGGGTGTTCTTGCTTCTCCGGCTTGCATTTTTTCCCCCACCACGCAGCAGCCGCCTCAAGCGAGCAAAGCGACAGCTTTTTGTTTTCCAGGGGAAAGGGAGTTACACAAATATGCCCTGGTGAGAAATCCCGGCTACTGCCGGGCCTCCCCGGGCGGGCCGCGGCAGCGCAAGGTGCAAAGGCACGGCACGGCTCTGCCGAAATGCTCGCCTGTCTTGCAAAACAGTCATCTTTTCACCTCTGAGCTGGGAAGTGGGGAAATTCCACCTCGGGTTTGTTGTTGGTTTGGGTTTGGGTTTTTTTGGGGGGAGGGAACTTGATCAGAAAGGGGAAAAAAAAAAAATTAAACCTTTGGACTTTCTGCCATTACACAACCAGCTCTTCTGCAGTCAGGTTATCTGGATAGTGTGTAAGAAAAATTACTCCGACAAAATAAAACCGAGGCAGAGCCATGGTGACTTGTTAATCTTTTCCTAGCCCTGAACTCCGAGCTAACTAATCCTGGTGTTTGTTAGCAGAATTCAGCAGCCCAAGGCTGCAAGCAACCTCCCTCCCTCCATCCCTCCCTCCCTCCCTCCCTCTGAAATGCCGTGACTCACCGGAGGCTCCGGATGAATAACTTGTGAGTGACTGATCCTTTCCTAACACTGCCCAAGGCCGAGGCAACCGCAGGTGAGAGCCTGAAAGTGGGTGGCAGGGCTCAGGTGTGGCTGCAGGAAAAAAGCTGCTCGCCAGGGGGAAGGGCTCAGTGCCTTGAAAATCTGGGTGCAAACAGGGATGCTGACCGGCTCGCCGATGTCATCATCAGCCCCGGGACTTGGAGGAAAGCAGCGAGGCTCCTCGGGTCCAACGGGATCAGCAGAGCCGTAGCTAACCCACCCAAGATGTGGATATTTGGGAAGCGTCTTCCCTTTGGTGACCACACTCAGGGCAGAGCGAGCGCTCGTGCACCCAGCCATGCTGAGCAATGGAAACCTGGTTTTCTGCTTGCAGAAGTTAGGGCCTGTCTATGCTGAAAATAATTAAGCTGAAGTGTGATTTGAAGGAGAAGAAGAATTCCTGGTTGTTCCTGGGTGGGTACATCTATTACAAGCCCCAAAAGTATGCAGGGCCTTTTGTTTAACCAAAACCACGTGTTCTGTGCTCTAGATACCACTGACTTCAGCTGAAGTCATCTGGGTCCTTAGAGAACAATTAATTTTTCAGTTAAGTCAGAATAAATGCTAGTCCACAGCCTCATTGTATTTACATATTCGGTCCATATTCAGTGGGATGGGGAAGGACCCGGACCGTCCACTCACCGAAAAACCAGCCTGATGCCCTTTAGGGAACTGCCGTGCATAAACTCAGATGGGAGGAGGCTGGACGTGGGGCAAGGGGGACGCAGAAGTAGAGCTTCCCACTTTGCCCCATAGTTTATACTGGGCCTCCAGATACACCTCAGCAGCAGGAGGCCGACCCTCAGCATCCAGACCCCGAGACCTCATCCTCCTCCTGCCAAACACTTGTTTCGAAGCCGCAGTGCCTCCTCCATCCATCTCAATCTCTCCATTTATCAAGTTGGACTAACGAGTTATCTGCACTGACAAACCAGAGAGACAATGTTTTTGCACAGCTCCAAACAAAGACGGCTTTATGCCCGGCCCCTGGGTATTTAAGCTACCCAGCGAGGTCGGTGATGCTCGCCCTCTCCCACTCCCCAGCCGTCGCGAGGGGTGGGACGCCCCGACAGATACGTCATTCACCCGCCAAGCAAGAATTTCCACCCCTGCCGTGCTGGCATGCCGACCGTTTCCATTTAAGGCTGATGTGCAGCGCAAGCTCTGGTCACGGGCGAGAGAGGGGTGTGTGTTTATCACCCAGGGACAGACCTCCCGGCAGGCACCCAGTCCTTATCGCCGGCAGCCTGCTCATCCCCGCGGCTCCCTCTGAAACCAGGAGCCCCCCGGGAGCCGGGGAGGCTGCACCGCAACAGAAGCATCGGGGGTAAATTAAGCACATCAAGGAGAAGAGGGGACCCACCGTGGTTTTGGGATACCAAATTCCCCCCCTGCTTCCTCAGCTCCGTTACAAATGGAAAATAAAGTGAGTGCAAGGGTCTGAGCAGGACCGTGGCTCGCCTCCCGCTCCCTCGCCGCGGGGAGAAGGGAGATTTGAGCCCAAACTGCCCACGGAGGACAGCTGTAATAAACGGCAGTCTGGGGAAGCCTAGTCTTATCAGCCACGGTTAGTGGTTAACCTCACGCGAGCTGGCTGCCCCTGCGGCCCTCGACGGTTCAGACCCTTGAAATATTTGCGTCCTGTCTAATGTGGCGTCTGTTTGCTCATCGTCCGTCTCTAAAAGAGATTAGGGGGGTGAAGGTGGCTCTAATCTCCCCTTCCAGAGCATCTTTCTTTTAACTGTGATCCTCAGCACACCCCGGGGAGGTGATGGGGTACGTGCCTCTATATATTTTATTTTTGAACATCAGCATTCAGTTTTACCTTCAGCTTTTTGTTGCCTCTCATCCGTTTTTGTGCCCAGGAGGGATCTGAAGCTGCCCGATAATTTTGACCTTGCCCCCTCCGGATAAACAAATTATTTCTCTCATAAATGCCTGGTTCCTCTTTAAAAGAGGGAGGAAAAGGACTTGCGGGCAGTCCGGGCCGTGAACTTCATGAGAACGGAGCTCAATTTCCCACTGCACCGCAGCCCCTTCCCTGCGCAAGCCTGGGCAAGCCACACTGTCCCTCAGTGCCTCAGTTTCCCCTCTGCGGCAGAGGGCTGCTCAGTTCCATCTTCACTCCCTTTCCCTGCCTTATCTTCGGGGTTTGGGAGATGCTCGGGGCAAGTGGGTGGATTTCCTCATCCTTTCTCCCTTCACCTTTCCTGACGCAGCTTCCCTGCCTCCGAGCACGCAGCCGCTGGGCAGGGGAAAGGGTTAAACGCTTCCCCTTCCCCGCCAACCCAGAGGGCTCCGAAAAGCAAGGGGAAACTTCAAGCAGCAAATGTAGAGTCTGAACTAAGATCTACTCCTTTCCCTGCCCTCCCCTGCCCTCCTCTCTTTCCTCCCCTTGCACCAGGACTTAAAAAGAGCTCTGGGATGAAGGAGAGGGGTGAGGGTCTTGCAGACTGTGAGCTGCAGCCCGGGCTCCGTATCCCAACCAAGGCACCTGCCTGCTTCGAAACTGGAACAGGAACTGGAGCGGAAACCCCTGGCTTGGCCGGTCCGAGGTTTGAAATGATCGATATTGCATAAAATCCAGCTTTCTGCTCAACCCTGGAGAGTCCCGTCCCAGGTTAAATCTCTGTGGGGCGAAACTAGGATGTTACAAACTCCTAAAAAAGCCTGCGGCCACCCCGCAGGTGCCTGCTCTCGCAGCCCAACTGCTCCGGCGGCAGCAAGACCCGCTGGCTCAGCAGAGCAGAGCCGCCTCCTGCCGAACCGCTGCCCGGCGGGACCAGTCTCATCCCCTGCCACGCGTAAGCCCCGAGACTCCACGAAGGGACCGAGCTGCTGTTGTTATACCTCCTCGCACAGCTACAAAAGCAAATTAAAAATTGGCTTTGGGGGCTATACACTGAGGATGCCTCGAATCTTTTCCCCAAATTTCTCAAAGGACATGGATACATTCTTCAGCCAATATATATTTTAATTTATATCTTGCATCACAGTTTTTTCCACAGCTGAATTTCCAGGAGGGAGTTTCTCGTCTGGAGCAGGAGAGGGATCGGACCATCACTTGGCTCTTTTTACCACCGAACATGTGACGCCCCGGTCTAACAGCCTCCGGCGCCGCAGGTTCAAGGCCGATTTTCTCAGGTGCATAAACACAGCCCCGTGCGGTTCCTTTGAACAAGACTCGTGGTCAGATGCCACCGTTCGGCTTCCTGGACCCAGTGTTTGCTTTGTTGACTGTGGCCACAATGCGCCCTCCTTAGCAGGGAAGAGCCGGGCTGGTTTTTGGCAGAAGGGTTCCCGGAGATCGCAGGACCTCGGGTGTGAATGGCTTCGCGGTTAGAAGGAGACGTTATTTTGGGGCTAGCACTGAAGGGATTAATATAAAATTTCAGCTTGACAGAGAAAGCTTGGAAGGAGATAAAAACAGGCTCTTGCCTCTGCCGAGTCATCTCCTGATTTAACTCATGGATCGGGGTGTGTTTAAAGGCTGCTCTGAGACCTGCTGCCTTTCCCGCAGCATCTAGGTCTGGTCAGGGGAAGAGAGCCAAGGCGGTGTTACCAAACCCTCTGAATGGACCATCGCCGGCTTTTATTTACCGATGTCAATGCCCTTTGCTCACCAAGACGCTGCGAGTCAGCAGGGCTGCATCAAGGACCGACTCTGACGATGACTGTGAAACAACCTCAATGAAAACGAAACCAGCAGCCAGCCGTGGGCGCAAGCAGCCTTGCACGAGTGCACCGCAGCCCGAACGGGTTCCGGCACAGCTCAGCAGCTGGGAAACGGGAAACCCTCGTAATAAAAACACTGGGTAAAACAAGCTCCACGTCCTGCGTCTCTGAGGGCCGGCTGACTGCTCCCCGATATCTGGAGAAACCCTGCGGGCACAGGGCGGCTCTTGCATCCCAGCGGCTACAGGGTTAAGCTGATGACTGCACACCACCGGTCTGACTCAGAGCCCGCCAGAGGAATGGCAGCACGCACAGAGGGACCGAAGCAATCCTTCCCTCTGTGCCTCTCAGGGAAGCCAGACACATCTGAGAAACTTGGAAAGTCCGAGCACGTGTGTTGGAGGCATTAATGGTTCTGCCTCCATCGCACAAGGGCTGATTAACCCCCGAACGTGCCCACGAGGGACAGTGCACCCCAGCGCCGAGGTCCCAG